GACTAGGTTTAAAGATTTTATCTGACTTTTAAAATGTCATAAGTGCCTTATGTTCTTTCTTTTGTTTAGCTGTTAATAAGCCTTTGTGTTGCACACTTGAACAAAGATTAAAAGTCTAAGGAAAACCTAAAACAGGATTCTTTATATTACTTTGCTTAAAATAAAAAGGTATCATCAAAACTTTTAATTGAAACCAGAATTTGGGCAAGGTTGTCAGTTTTCACTTCGGCTTTTGAAACAAGCATCTTCCTCTAATTTATTAAAGGGGGACTGCAGTCCCAGTTTCTCAGACTGGTAATTAAATCTCTGTAACAAAATAAATTCATTGACATTGTGGAAACATTTGACAAATTTCAAATTAAGCACAAAATCGTGAACTTTTTGAAAGTGCTGTAAGTCGCCATCTTGTCGCCAATCCCTGGTCTCTTCATGGGAGAGAGTGAGAGTTCCCACGAGCTGTGACGTGATGCGGCCCTTCCTGCTCACTAGTCACCATAATGACTCATGTAATGCGATATATGAGCGAATAAATACAGGTTTTGCAGTAGACATTTTACTGCAGAAACGTTTCAACCTGATCTGCACGCAGAGTAAACCTGTAAAATGTTACTGCAAAACCTCAAAATCAAGAGCAATATTTCCATTGGATCAAAAGTGATGTATTCACAAGCCTGCTTGTTTACAATGTAATAAGGCCACTCCACGTCACTAAAGGTTTTGTTGTCTCATTCTGAATCACAGAACATGGCACTGAGCATACCTTGAAATGTTATCTATTTTGTGATGTAAATTGAAGGATTTACAAGTTACTGTGTACATTTTGCTTTTATTGTGGTTTGAAATACACTCTTCAGTGCTGATTCTTTCTCACACCGACAAATAAAAAGTAGCAGTTCCCCTTTAAATGGTGAAATCATCATATTTACACTTGTACTATATTCATTATCTTGCTCACAGCACGTCTATAATGGAACTCAACGCACAGTGGAAGTGCTAGTGCTAGAAAATGTCTATGATTCAGCTAAAATAAAACTTTTCCTAAATGAGGTGCACTTTCCCCTGTGATGGAAAAATGAAAAGATTATTAACATTATTATTGTGTCAAAGCTTAGCAGTATTCTGAGTTTAAATCAGTGATATCTATTAACTTATTGAAAACATAAGTCTTAACAGGGACAGCTTAGGTGAAAAACTACAAACTGAGCTTACTTGGAACAGAGGCTTACTGCAGTTCCTATTTGTTAGTTGGTGTAGAGAATACCGTTTAAGTTGATGCAGGAACAGGGCTTTAAATATCCTAATGGCAACCAAAAAAATCACTAGACAGAAGAATGTAAATTAATTACTTTATCACATCCAGTAATACAAAAGAGAATACTTCAGGAAGAAATAACCAAAAGTTTGGAAAAATATGTTGTCTGTAATAACTCAAGTTGATTATCACAATATGCACACAGCTCAGAAAAGAAATGGGTCTATGTGTTAGTGAAAATGAGAATTATTTCTCAAGAGACATTCCTGGTAAAGGAATAAAAATGTCTATGAAGTTTTGGGGAATATTTTGAGTCAGGATTTTTTATGATGTTTATAAAGTGGTAAACAGTTGTTTTATATCATTGACAAAGAATCCACATACAGTTGACAGTAAAGTTTTTTATATTTGTTACTTTTATATTGAAAATTGTAATTGCATTTGTTTCAAGTATAATGCTTTACTATTGTGCATATTTCAGTTTTGTGTACAAGAGGGTACATAAGTTGATATTGTCATGTACTGTATATTTTGTTTTTTTTAGTGAAGAACAGCAATGCAGTCTGAGCTCTACCTTCATGAGATCACGTTTGCTTGATCTTCCATGATTTTCTCCTGTTTTGGTTCCCTGAAGCAAAGAAAACGTGAACCCCTTCCTCTCCCCAAGAAACCCAATAACCATGTGTGGACGGACTGATGGACGCACCAGTGTAAACAAAAACTAAAGCAATCCCCGTTTAAGCAGTACTGCACACAGTTCATGCTGTACTTGGTTTTGCATGAATAGCAGTAGATTGGGAAGTTTACCCTGGAATGTAAAGAGAAAGTAAAAACAGAAAAGTTTATGCAGTTAATTCCTCATCAAGTTAGGAATGATCAGATTTTCAGTAACATGGTAACATTTGCCACACAAGCACTAAAATATATTTTGTGTGCCCCCCACAAAAAAGTTTCAGTGCTGCCCCTGATTTCCTTTTTTATTTTGTTAATAGGTACCATTTCCTTGTGCACAGAGTCAGTGTCATGAAGTGTGGTTTGGAAGGTTTTAAGAACATTCCCTTTAATATCCCTTTGCTATAATATAAATATCTGGTTTCAGTTTTTCCTCATTGAACAGACCAGGTTAGGTGTTGGATGCTTTAATATGATAATACTAGAGTGAACTGCATTTCTCTGAGAAAAATAAAATAAGGATGGGCAAAAAAACAAAATACGATACAAAAAAAATTAAAATACAACAGTGGACAATATGAATCATCTTGGGGAAAAAAGTATTATTTGATGAGAACACATTTTTTTTCACAACCTCTGAATGGTCTTAGCAGCTCTGTAATATGCTGATTCTTCGCACCCATGTCATGAGATTCCTCACGCGCACAGATGCTCCCATACACTGTAAATGGAAAGGATATCATTACTGATGACTAGACTCCCTGCTGTGCTTGTTAGAAAGACTTGCAAATTAAGAGAAATATTTTTTTTCTGTAGTGTAATAGAGGCACTTCTTATGAGGCAGCTGTTCCTCTTGAAATGAATTAGGAGAAGAGCAATTAAAATTCAAAATAGATGGACTCAGTTCCTTTCCTTTGCCTCATTTGGTAGCTGAGTAGTGTAGTAGCTCAGTCTGACATGGAAATGTGTCTCTTTATTCAAATATACAATGATGTACAGTATGTTGACAGACTTATTTGTGCTTTAGACAGGAAGATCTCTGTTACCAATTGATGGTAATGCCTGTATAGGTGCATGGAAAAACAGAAATATAAGTTAGCTTAGAATGTTTAAAAACTTACCTGTAGGCAACTTGTTTTTAAAGAAAAATAACTGCTGGTTTTGAGAGAGCACTTGAGAAACATACATTTGAACTTTTCCATTTCGTCAGAAGTTAATCGTTTTTGCTGCAAAAAGCCTTTTTCTCATAACCTGAAGTGAAGAAGAACAGCTTACAATCTTTGTGGAAGCAGAACATTTGACAAGTATCAGAATTTCAAATTGTTGACTTCTCTCTTTGCCCTTGGGTCTAATTAAATATTTCTCTCAGGATATGCAAAGAAGCATAGCTTTCTTGTCTTTGCTTCTTTTTATGTCATGCTTTCTACTGTGTTTGATTTCATTTTGTTTAGTTCCAATTACTTAAAAGCTGTACACGGTTTATGAAGCAAAACAGTCCTGTGATAGGATTACTACACAGAAAATTAGCCACCTGGTGGTTGAGTATGGAATTTACAGTTTTTATACATTAATAACAGAGTTTCTGAATTTTTTTACTTTTAGTAATAAAGGTCCTATTATGTGAGTGAAGTTATGTGAAAGGTATTCATGAGATAGTGTATTTGTGCTGCCTTGTTAGATTCATGTGACGGACAACTATAAGAGGAACAAAAGATTCTCATTGTGAGTTGCTGGGATCCATTCGCATTCAGAAAATAAATCTGCACTTCAGTTTGTTTTACTGTGAATTGTTTTGTATATACAGTAATCAAAAACAGAATTCTCAGCTATGATTATTTTCAGTTGGTTTGAGACAGATAAACACTTAACACTCGGTTCTTCCTTTGAGCGATAGTTATTGCCTCTATCTGGACAAGCAGGTAAAATAGTAGTTGACAGCAAATACTGTGAATCTTTTTTTTTCAAGCTCCCATTAAGAGCACGAGAATAGTTACAAATGAAAGGAGGCCATTAGGTCCATCTAGTGTTTAATAGTTATCTGTTTATTGATCTGAGGATCTCATCCAGACGATTTTTTGAAGAAGCCAAGAATCGGCTTCAAAACGTGACTGGGTATTTTTTTTCGTATTCCCACAAACCTTTAAGCAGACGTTCTCAGACCCTTTATTTGGTGATGTGTGTTATGCAATGTTCTTGACTGCTTGTAGAGAATCAAATCTCAGTTGCTCTCCAGAAAACACTAGTTATACGAGACTATTTCAAGAAATACGTTTGGCATTAACCTGGAGTGATGGTATTATACTTGGTATTAATTGTGGAGAAATGTAATGTAAATATTCCAACAGTACAGTGTACTGGAATACCAATGGTAAACTTTGTGAATTATAAATCTAATCATGTTACTTATCTTATGTATACCATTTCTTTTTCTTTTCTAACTTTTTCTAAACATTAGGCACCATCTGTTTCGGTCTAAGCCTACATAAAATTGTAATTAAGTAATATAAATTCTGTAGGCACAGTTAAAGGGATTTGTATTGGGGCCATATTACTGGGAAATGTGTTTGTGTATTTAACAAGAAAAGTCATTTGTGTAACTGCTTGATATTCATTAGGAGTAGAGTTTGAATTGGTTTATATATAGTAAATCTTCAACCTTGTCTGGGAAATATTTTAGTATATGTTTACTGAGAAGGTAAAGCAGACTATTGATAGATTCATACATGACTCCTCCAAATCATAAATCCTTCTTGTGTATGGGATTATGGAACAAGCTACCTGGCCATGTTGTTGAAGCTGAAACCCTGCTTTCTTTCAAAAAAACAGCTGAATTAGGTCTTTGGATCAATTAGCTACTAACTACAAAACAACTTCTATGAGCTGAATGGCCTCCATTTGTTTGTAACCTATCTTGGGTTCTTATGTATAATTCACAAATACACTTCAGATATGTTTGATGTTGGCTTACTAAAGTACAGTGCATCTTTTTATTTTAAGATAAGCAAAAGTGTTCTCCCTGTATTGTTGAGATCAGTGTGAATAATTTTAATTTGAAACTGTGTTTTTCTTTTGACAGATTTAAATATGGAATACAACCCCTCAGACCATCCTCGAGCTAGCACAATATTCCTCAGCAAGTCACAGACAGATGGTAAGTTTTCCTGGACTAACAGTGTTCAGTTGTGCTATGTGTATTCGTTTTTTTTATTATGTAGAGTTGCATGTCACACTGTTTCTGCTGTTGGGAAGAAAAAATTCCTTCCCCCCCCCCTTTTGAACTGGACTTTGTTTGGTGTCTTTAACTGCACGTACACTTGTGAGTATTCTCGCATAATTTTCTTTTTCCTATCTAATGCGTGTATTTGAAAGTCAATAATATAGTTGTTGAAGTAGTATAGATATTATATGAGCAGTTGGTAAAAGTTGATACTCTAGTGGGTCTACTCCCGCTATTGAGAAATGTTGTAAGGCATTACGTAAAAATACTTTGTAAGGTCTTTAATTTGCACGTGAGCAGTGATGGGCTTGTTGAATTGAATACATTTGATAACCATTCCTAAACAGTTCTATGCAGTGTATATACTATTCAAAAGATGATCATCCTCAAAATATCATGGTTTGAAGTTGGCCATTTGGTTCAGGTTATAACTGTTTTAAAAATACACACACTGATATGGCATTATCTACACATTTATATCTATAAAATATATAAAACATCACTGCTTTATTGACATTTTTTAGTCCAGAAAATATGCTGTAATTAAGCACAGGGTAATCCGATATTACTGAAAAAAGGACTTAGTCATAGAAAAGTCATTGTTAACTTTAAAGTGCTGATAATCTACTAATTAATTGGGCAGGTGTTTTTTGTGAATGTAATACAATATGGTGTTTTGTGTATAGAATTACAATATGGTATAACTCATTCCATTAACTATGAGTTATTTTGTCAGGCATTTGTTTTTATACTCTTTGTTCTTCTTCATGATAACAAGTGATGACCTATTTTTGACATTCTGGGTTCCTTCTGAAATGGATACTGAGATGCACTATTGTAGGTCTCCAGTGTTTGACGGTGCAAATGAACATAAACATTTCTTTGAAGAGTGACCATCTGAGCTTTTATAGGACTTACAATAACATGCATAGTAACCTGTGTTTCTGATAAAGACTTTGCCTTCAAGCTTTTGGAAATCATTGGCATCATGTGTGCCAAGAGGACAGTGTAGCAGCAACACTGAAGGCTTCAGTGACATTTTGTTTTTGCAGTTGTACACCGCTTTGGTGTTTCCTTTAAAACTCCCCAAGTATTTTATGTAACTTTAAACTTTTAACATAGTCCATGCTTTTAGTATATCACAATTCTCTGAAAGCTGCAATCTTCTGTTGCCTCTCTTTAAACAGGTGGTTATCTGGTGCAGGTACCTATGTGGTTCTTCCGGAAAACAGTGCATCTGTTAAAAATAAATGCTTGAATTTCTTATAGGGCATTTCATCCCAGTGGATCCCTAACTTCCAGTGCCAAGCTGGGTGACGTGCTACACTACAGTATATAGTAGTTCAGGTGCAGAAATGAGAAATTATTTCAACAGTTGAATTAAAGTGGACACATGAGGAAGGGAGAGTGTACAAGCACAGAGTGAAATTGAGAAAATTAGTTTCTAACCTCTGAACTTTCAAACAGTGCCATGGTGTCTTTAACGTCCAAGTAGTCAGGACCTCAGGTCCATGTCTCATCCTACTTCAGAAAGAAAAAAAAATGATGTTGAAGAATTGAAGATGTCTAGTTTATCAGGAGACAGCAGCCACACCCACTCAAAAAGGATCTCTGGAGGGCTCATTGTAGATCTTTCAGATTTTTGCATTTTAGAAAATTATTTTTTAAATGACATATTTCATGAATGTTAATAATAAATTTAAATAAATTTATTTTTATGAAATGTCAACAAATGTCAACCTGTTGAATTCAGGTTAAAAGCATTGCGGTGATATAAATAGTCCTAATATTTATTAACTCAATACTCTTATTGATTTTACAAGCCCAGCAGAAACAGCTTTAACTTTTTTTTCAGTTGCTGTTCCCTTCAAAAAAGGTAAGTCTTTTTCTCCGGAACATTTTTAATTTTGAGGCTGACAGTGTTTTGAGTGTAATTACGCTTACTAGCTCTTGGAAATAACCTGTGAGTGCGTACTGCTTTGTGTATAATCTGCTGTGTCTTTAATTCAGTAGTGTATTTTGTTCGTAATTTAATTGTGGCTTTGTAGTGTAGTAGCTTTTTGTGTTGTTCATGCAGTTGTACAGTGACCTTAGCACATTTTTTAAATTCAAGAGACCTTACTCTCTGTTGTTGAATGAAATATTTTTCACATCTATCATTTTAGATAAGAGGGAGAAGCATCTTATATAGAGAAGTGTAAAAGCATATTAAAAATTATTTTTCATTAGGATTCAGTTTTTTTTTACCCAGGCCATGCGTCATTTCTCAAAAGTGAAATTATATGAGATCAGTCTTTATTACAGAGTATTCCCTACCAAATACCTTACATTTACTATATTTTGGCATTCTCCTCACATACTTCTTTTATTTATTAATTTATGTTGTGTTTTCTTATATTTTGTCTTCAACAACATACAGTCCATTTGCAGGTACTGATATTAATGCTATGTGGAGCCAATTCCTTCTGAACACATTAGTAAACTGTATATTCTAAACAGAAACACGTGAACCCACCAAAGTATAATGGGGCGGTGCAGTGGTTCTGTGGCTAAGGATCTGCGCCTGTGGCTGGAAGGGTGCCGGCTGGTATCGCCCAGTCGGCAAGGGAATCCTACTCCGTTGGGCCCCTGAGCAAGGCCCTTAACCCCAGCTGCTCCATGGGCGCCGTATAAATGGCTGACCTTGGGCTCTGACCCCGAGCTTCTCTCCCTGTCTGTGTGTCTCATGGAGAGCAAGTTGGGGTATATGATAAAAAGACAAATTCCTAACACAAGAAATTGTATGTGGCCAATAAAGTCATCTTACCTTATATGTGTAACAGCTCACTTGGAAGGCAGTGCTTTCCTTTGTTTCTCTTGCTCATAGCAACACTTTTGTATGGATACACAATTCCGATTAAGGAGGAATCATCAACTCCCACTCAGTTTTAGTATTTCTAACTGAGAAACGCTGAGATCAGAGTCCTTCGCCGGGAGTGGTGCGGTATTTATTGTCTGCCGGTAAAGGGGGCAGATAAAAGCAGCTGATGCTGCTATTTCACAAATTCAGTCAGCGGTGGGTTATATTATAGTGTGTGCCTGGCACCCGGTCTGCTCAGCCCCCTTCTTACAGAAGCACAGTAATTGGCGCAGTTTCCAGAGGATGCTCACAAACCTGCCATGATTTGAGCACCCACATCACTGATCTCGAGTGCCAGCAACCTCTGCTTGTCTCTTCTGAAAAAATTTGCATCTGAGTGGGTGGCCAACTTGTAAGCATGAGCACGGTTAAAATGCCTTATCTGTACTTCAGTGGGAACTAATATGGTTCAAAATAGACACATTAGCAGTTGATGCGAATGCAGTGGGCAGAAGGAAATAGAGGTACATTGGGGGGGGGGGGGGGGGTGTATTTTGAGAAGCTCTTCAGTATGGGCTTCTCCTTGTTTTCAGACTGCTTTAACTTAACTCTGTAATTTATAGAACTGAGTTTTAAAGGACGTGTCAGAAATGGTTCAGAAATAATAATTAATAAATTATTTGCATCATGTGCTTTTGACTGTGTTTCTTTAAAGTTTATTCTAAGCTCATTCAGCGTAGCAGGCACTGTAGTTAAGATTTCAAGTGTGCTAGCAAAGTTAGGACACTTTCTACATCCTTATTCTTACAGTTCCATCTTTAGACTCCTGTGGAGCTGAAAAAGTAGTGTCATATCTGTAAATAAAAAGATGGACAATAATGCAAGAGAAAACTCGTGGCGTGTTGCCTGTGGACTGTGACTACAGAGGAGCAGAGAGTTGAGCATTTCCCGTCTCACCAGCTGTCTTCATTCTCACTGTGGGCCACAATCTCACTCTCCTGGTGTGTGTTTGGCATCTCCGAGCTGCAGTGTTGATGATGGAAGGCCAGGAAATCCTGCTTTTGAAATCCACCCTCAGTCACTCACTTCCTGCGTAAATGTGAAAAGCTTTAGCATTATATTGTAGGTCCCACATTCCAGAAGAATTTATCACTCCACAACTGTCTGCCTTCTGTGTAGAAAAACAAAATAACATAATCTCAGACACTCATTATACTATGCCTGTAGGATTTTACGTTTTTTTGTTTTCTCCTGGGAAAGAAAATCTACTGCTAACAGCACAAAGCATTTTTGATGAGTGCAGCATGTTAAAGTGTGCCTTGAAGAGCACTACTAATAAGTACAGTATGGGAAAAACACAGTGGAACAATTTTAAGCTCTCCTGTTTTTTTAAGTTAGACTTTCTGTGTTCTTTCTGTAGTATAACTTCCTTTCTGTATGTAATGCTTGCCTTCATTATCTCTGGTCTGTCTTGTGTTCTGCACCTGACTAATCAGTCTTCAGGGGTCAGTCCCCATGTGTAGCTGTTTCCACATCAAGTGATTTTGTTAGTGTGTTCATTTGGCAGTGAGTGGATACAATCCTGCCTGTGGCTGAAATAGTTGTTGTTTCTAGGCGAATTTGATGGGCAAATGCAAATCGTGTTTTACACCCAAACAAATTTTGAAATGCTCACAACTTAATGCTATAGATTTGTAGGTCACTATGGATGATCTGTGTGCATTAGCATTAGATATAAAACCGTATGTTTATGCATAATGCTAAGAACGTTAGACTTGTAAAGCAAATATGTATGACTTTCATTATTTCCTATCTAGACGTGTTTGGAGTAATGTAGACAAGTATATGGCTACAATCCATGGAAAAACTTTATCATCTGAAAGGCGTGGTTTGGAAATTATTTTATGTATTGTTAATTTGGGTATCGGATTGTCACACATCTCACATGTCTACACTCACATATTCGATAAGAGAATGTCTTGTCACATATCCTATCATTTCTTTTCCAACATCTAGTGTGAACAAATGTCTTTGACAACATTGTGCATTATAGTTTGTGTAAAAATACATGTTCTGATATTCAGTTTTTTCTTAAGTAACAATGTATACATTAGTTTCAATGCTTTATACTTTACTCAATTCATGAATTGCAGAATACAAGACAAAACATTATTCCCACTCATTTCCCTTATGATAGACTTTTGAAAAACACTGTGATCATTAGCACTACACAAACTACGCCTTTCTACACTATAGCCAGCCATTATTAGCAATGTATACATCACAGCTTTATTGTGTCTATTTAAACTTTTTATTAGAAGAATCGTGAGATTCTTTTCTTAAAGTGTTTTAGAAATCACAGGGTTTTGGGGACAAAATAGTTACTACTACTACTACTACTACTACACGTATATAGCTCTTTTCTGCACCCTCCACTTAAAGCTTTTTACAGGTAATGGGGATGCCACCCATTACCCACCTGGATGATGTGATACAAACAGAATCATTTTTCCACAGAGAACAATTGGTGACCAGGGGTGGCTCTTTATTTGGCTTGAGTTAAATGCCTCAAGCAAAAATAAAAAACAATGGTATAGAAACCAATGACTTTGCTAGCTCTTTTGATAACACTACCATTGTCTTTGGTTTCACGTGCTGCAGTGTGCCTTGTGCACATCACTGTAATAGGAATTAGTAACTGTTGTCAGAATAAAACAAATCGAAGAAGGCCAGCTTCAGGAAATACAAAGTTTTGTCTTTCATGATTGTTTCTCCATAGATTAGCTATATTCAGCCCATTGGATGCTTCCATTTTAAATATTGAGCTGTTCTCCTTTGCTTTTGTGGTGCATGAAACACAAAGCTAGATTTTTCTTCATTTTGTTGAGTTTTCATTTTAAAATGTTGTTTTGTTTTTTACAGTGAGAGAAAAACGGAAGAGCCTTTACATAAATCATGTAAGTAAATAAGAAATGTAAAATGTTCCTTATTATGAAGTGTTGTTGACTGTTAAAGAAGTCTAAATTGTAGTTAAATTGCTCAGGTAACATACATGTTTTCCTCCTGTAAACCTTTTTGGTGTATCTAAGGCCTTGTTTGTAATACAGTACATTGTAAAACATTTACCACTATATAAATATCATATTTTTGGGTGCTGAACCACCATCAACCAACTAATTTTGTACATCATTTTTTTATTTTATTTAAGTGATAATGTGTTTAGAGTGAGTTTCTGTTGAGATAAAAAGATTTTAGACAATGATATTGTTAGCTATTGCAGTGTTAAATGTACCGTCATTAACAAGGATTACAACTGAAGTAAATATGTTTTTATTTTTGTACAAAATCTAAAAATAACGGGACTTAAACACTTCTATTTTGAATCGGAAAACATTAATGAGTATTGGGAAAGGATCTAAATGTAACTACGATGTAGTTTAAAACTGTAAAAAACATGTCAGAAGTCATTGTTCTCACTTGGCATTTTTCTGACTCTGCTCATGTGAGGTCATTTTACTGACAGTCTTTAGCCCTTGTAGGAAAGTAACAAAGGTGACATGGAAAGATGGCAGGTACCTGCCTTCTGTCAAATGTCAAGTCTCTTGCCCATCAATCATGTCAAATTAAAGCTATGAAAAAGGATAGTGAATACTCATCAGCTCAGGCAAAATAAGTGAGGTGTTTTTACAGTATGTGCAGCCAGACAACTGAGACTTTAGTATTAAAAGACAACTATTTCATATATTTTATGTCACTCTTCATTCGAGTTGAATTTATTTTCTTTTCACCTCAAATAAGTACTTTATTAAATTGCATTGGTGTGCAAGTTGTTGCATAAACATGTTATTTTAAGATCATTTTTATTATTATGATGGAAAGATGAAGGAGACTTTGTTTTAAGTCTGGGTTTTGTAATCAGTTAGGTGTGATTACCCATATAAAGTCCCACTTTTGAGCTTACTGAGAGTTAGGCGGACTTGAGCCAACCTTTTACAAGGCTGCAAAGTGAGCCCTGGGCGTCGCAGCCTGCCTGTAAGCTTTCAGTGTCGTCTCTTAGAAATGTCGCTTGTCTAGACAGTGCCAACTCTCCTGTGAGGTCTCCTGTCTTTACATCTTGGCTCACAGTGATGGCTCCTGCACCAACAAGGGGAGGGGGGTGCAAACTGGCCCACCCATTGACCCATTCATTCATTGACCTAAGTTGTGATATCTAGGTGTGTAGGACATTCCCTTAACACTCAGAATGTATCTGGTTGCTCTTCTCTGGACTGCTTCAAGAGCACCAATAACTTTTCCATAATGTGGTGACCAAAACCGAACACAATATTCTAAATGAGGCTTTAGTAGTGTGTCATAAAATGTTAACATAACATCCCTTGTTGTAAATGCTATACTTTTAATTAGATACCCTAATATTTTTGAAATTTGTATTAATTTGTTCACCATATTATCTGGTTGATGTAGATGATGTCAGCATAAACACTTAAGTCTATTTCATAAGCAGCCTTTTATAGCTCAGCATTTCCCATATTCTATTAATAACTTGCTTTTAGTACGTGAAGGCAAAACATTGCAGCCATCTACATCCAGTGTCATTTGCCAGGTGTTCGCCCAGTCATGATCTAAATCTTTTTAATTACATTTGCTGCTTCTACAGTGCGCAGATCTATAGTAACTTACTTCACTTACTATACTGGAATCCAATAAGTATCAATTAGGTAGAGCAGCAGTCCTAGTACTTCCTGTGGTACTCCTTACTTGTACCTTCTGTTTTCTATTTATTAACACTTCTCATTCCAAACACTTGTGATTCCATGAATACCTACCGCCTGCAATTTGAGACTTAACTTTATGAAAAGTATTCTGAAAAGCTAAAAACTATAGTTATAGTATGCTCTATGTATATTTGTTGCTGTTGTTGTTCGTTAAAAGACTTCAAGCAAGTTGTTTAAGCGAAACCAATTTTTTTTTCGAATCCATGTCGACTAAGTCCTCGGATATTATATCCGTATGTCATCATCTCCACAGCTTTATGTACAGTTGGTTTAGTGCCAATTAGAGGAGAGGTGCACCATTCATCGACAGCAACTGGGAACTTGTTTACAGTTTCACTGGTAGCTAAAGGAGTCCTGGCTGCTTAGTTCCAGTACTACCCCTGACTCCACCGAGACAGTTGCACCCAGTGCTTAAGGAACATAGTCACAGAGTGTGTAACTTAACCCAGGCTAAAAAAAAAATAATCATCTTTATTTAAAATAAAAACATTCCTGCGTCAATGCGGTATATTTTCTTGTGTAAGTTAACTCCAGAACAATTTTCTTTTTTTTCCAGCATCCGCCTGGGCAAATGAGACGTAAATACAGCTCCTGTTCCACAATTTTCTTAGATGACAGCACAGTTAGTCAGCCCAACCTCAAGTATACTATTAAATGGTGAGTAGAGGACAAAACAGTTGTGTGCTTTTCATGGATTGTCTTCTGGAAAAATGTGATCCCCCTGGTAGACCGTGGAAGGTCAGTAGTTAAGAATTCATTAAATGTTATTTTTTATAACATGATAATCTTCCAAATTGTACTTTGCAACTCATATATTTTTAAAAATATATTGAACCAAAGTGGATGTTTATTGTGCTGAAAGCCTCCAAAATGGCCACACTAAAATGAGAGATTAATCTGACTGAGGCCATATGAAGTTAGATTGGTTAGATTACAGATTACAGATTTTGGAATATTTTGCACTTTAGGATAATTTTTCTCTTAAAGCACAAGAAACAGAGAGCAGCAATATGAAAACTATGCCCTTATTTTGTAATTTATTTATGCAGTTCGAGGTTGTGTTATACGTTATATACATTATGGATATTAATTTAGTCAAAACAGCACAAACGTCTGCATTGTATTGTATATGTGGATAATATACAGTATACACCCGTACTTCTTTGTATGAATGTTCTTTTAATAAAAATTCAATTCTACACAGCATTGTTACCCACGTTTCAAATAACGAAAGTCAACTTCAAAACTACAAAGAAATGATACAAAGAAAAATTTTGAAACCTTCTCCAAATGTAGAGGGTAAAGAGGAAGGTGTCATATGACTCATATTTTTCATATCGAGTGTACACATCACATTAACAGAGCCTTCGGAGTGGCACGAGAAACGTGATACTGTTCGCTTCGTGTGTTGTTTGCTATTGTTTGCGCTCTTAGCTTTCGTAAGCATATTTATGGTTTAGACTTCATAATGTAAAAGTGTTACGAAAATTAAAATTATGAGTGGGTGTGAAATTACACATAAAGCAAATTAAGTGGTTACTGTACTGTATGATCAATGATGTCTAACTAGGTAGGCAGTGTTTTTTATGACTAAAAATGCAAACCACAGTCTGAATGTTAGTTACTATTGTTTCTTTTACCATTTTTTGGTAAGTTGGGGCGACATTTTAAGGGTCCGGAACCGATCATAATTTTTCCCCATAAGAAATAATAGATTTTTCTTTTTACGAATTTTCGCTATACAAAAGAGCTTCTGGAAGCGAATTACGTATGTAAAAAGAGGCACGGCAGTCTTGTGCGAATGCTGTGTGTATTTATACATATTTACAGTATGTGGCAGAGCCTGTCACACAATCTTTAACAAAAAGGAAGTGTTATAACTTGTATGGTCAGACAAAACTGCAGTGTTTTTCTCACTTCAAGAGAGCTAAAGGCTTCCAACGATTTCGCATCTTTTCATCAAGATTATGCAAAACACCACTGAGTGTTGGCTCTTCTAAAATATATTTTCAGTCAAAAGCAACTGAAAGCCATGCAGAAATTAAGCTAGACATTCATCATCAAATATACAATATGTTCTTTTTAATTGGTTTAAGTTAAACCATTACTTACAGTTCAAAGGGCTTTAACCCAAGCTCTTTGGAAGGTAAAACTGCAAATTCTTCACGTAACTACTCCAAGGATTTGTGCTAGCTGGTGTCTAAGAAGTCAAAGGTTTGACACATATAGGAACATTAGAAAGGTGTTGTATGAATGCCAGCAACATAATTGTAAGCTGATAAGTATAGTTTTTGGAGAAAGAAAAATATACTGTTTGTCCATTAAAATGGAGAAAATGGGGCACTGAACACAAAGGTTTCTGGACTCACATCTGTACTGTAAATACAGGCCATAATTTGGCAGAGGGTTAATCCTGTGATCAGTAAAAAAGTAATTTGTAAGAATGTGACTCATGAAAGAAGTTGGCCATTAATATCTCTTTATTTTACAGTGTAGCGCTTGCAATATATTATCACATAAAGAACAGGTAAGAAAATGTTTTTTTTCCATTACCTAAACTGTAGTCTGGAAATATATGATATTTGTAAATGTGTTTTTCATCTGTTTATTTTTAACATCTTAGCAAGCGAGGATAAAACAATTACATAAAGTGCTGCATATCCACCCCAATGTTTTTCCTGGAAGGAGAGGCATCATTTGCAATTAAATATGGGAGTAGTGTTTGCATGAGTACAGTAAAGGCAGTATTGGGTGCCTTTAGACCTGGGTTAGAGCTACACCCAGATCTGAAATGTCATGCCCTTTTGTATATAGCCCCGAAAATCTACAGTTCTGTCTAACCAATTAATGCCCTGCTATTCAAAACAAGTGTTGGTAGGATGATGAAAAAAAACTCAGAAAACTCATTTTTTTCATAAAACATTTTTACTCACCAGTTGTGAAAGAGCCAGTTGTGTGTTTTTTACGTCTTGGCTCACAAATACAAACCCTGGCACTGCACAAGGGAGAAAGAGAAAGTTGAGACAGACTCCTCCTACCTGCCTGCCTTTGAATCACTTATCTTTTAACACATATCAGGCAACTAACCTGAGGTTCAGCACCGATTGGAGGTGAGAGGCATCCTGCACTCCCAACGGCATGCCTGCAAGTGCTTGGGAGGCCACAGTGGTCAGCTGGTGGCGTGACCCAGACTACAATCCTTGATCATAGAGCTGAACCTTAGAGCCATTGATCCTTTACCAACTGAGTCATTCAGGATGCTCGTAAATTAAAATGACTTTCATGTATTTAAACAGTTTAGTTAGGAGTAGGACTGAAGTGGTTTCATTTGTAGATTACAGATTGTGGACTATTTACGTATGTTCGATTGATACAACTGTATCTTTCCTCGTTTCAGAGACACAGATGGAAGAATGTTGTTAGACATTTTTGATGAAA